AATTAATTTAAAACCAATATTTTTTTTGAATAATAATATTGGTAATTTATAAATTTAGCATCCATGTTCATGATTTTTAAATCAATTTTGGTTTTTTTTTAAAATTATTTAAAAATCACGTGATATATTGATTTTTATTTGATTGGGTATTGAAGATAGTTCAGTTCCAATATATAATATATAAAGCGCGTATTTTCCCAAAGGTTCTATAGAGAGGGGAGGGCTGATTTAAGATATAAATTGATATAAAGATTTTAGTTTCTACTTTTTATGGTTCCGAATTTGGCGTCATTTTAATTTATTTTTAAATTTCAAATAACGCAACTACATATTCTGGATCCTTGATACACGCGTTAACTGTCATCACTCAAATATTTATATTTTTATTTAGAAAAGGTAAAACGAGTAATAGACTATGTAAATTTTATTACTTTTTTTTAAATAGATAGATTGAGAATGTTAATTATTAAGAAAGTTGTTACATTTCTAGAAATTCTTTAATTTTATTTTTACTACGTTTATTTATTATATTATTTTAAATTTATTCTTTGCAAAACGTTCAATTAAAAAAAAAATTGATGAATTATTTTAATTCACTCACATCACCCTTTCCCCTAATTGGACCAACCATTATTCAAACAAGTCAAATTTTACTTCAATCTCTGCTTTAATGATCTTGTTTCTCCATCAACGATAGTCTTTTTTCTTCACTTATCCGATGACTTTTTTTTAATGTCATAGTGTAGTGTTGTTAAACGGCTCGTATAAATGAAAATTATAGCCAAAATAATATTGCAAGCCTCGGGATTTCTTTACTAAATGTTCAAACCTTTCTGTCATCTATAAGCAAAATCTCTATGTTTGCATAATATTTTTTGGAGTTAGTAATTTTTAAAAATCTAGCCATTTAACAGCACTACCATTTTGGGTTACTCTTTGGTGTCTTCTTTCTAACGACGTCCCTCATTATTTTTTTTGGTTTCACTTTCAGCATGGACCGGTTAATGATGCTTACTACCAAGTGAATGTATGGAAATATTCTAAATACCAACCTAATTTGCTAAATACCGACTAAAATTTATTAAAATGTAATAAGACCCTTATTATTTAATATATTAATACGGAATCGGTCGAGTCCGACCTTCTATATATCATCCCCCTAAGGATGGAACCACCAAGTTAGAATAAGAAAAAAAACATGATCATCCCCGGGATTCGAACCCGGGAGCATGGGATCAGTAAGCCAAGCTTTTGCCAACTAGGCTATAGAGGCTTTCCAAAAATGGTTAATGATGCTTAACTACCAAGTGAATGTATGGAAATATTCTAAATACCAACCTAATTTGCTAAATACCGACCAAAATTTATTAAAATGTAATAAGACCCTTATTATTTAATATATTAATATGGAATCACGTGGTCGAGTCGGCATTCTATATATCATCCCCCCAAGAATGGAACCACCAAGTTAGAATAATAAAAAACATGATCATTCCTGGGATTCGAACTTGTGAGCATGGGATCAGTAAACCAAGCTCTTGCCTACTAGGCCACAGAGGCTTTCCAAAAATCACGATTTTTCAAATATATATTATAAATATATTTGGTAGTGCCTATCCAAATGAATTATGAACAAAATTCAAATTTGATAGGTAGTACCTTAAGGTAGTAAGCATCATTAACCGCATGGACCGCCCTCATTTTAATAAATGATGTGAAAAATGTCTCCAGTTTTTTTCTCTCTCTAATTCGGATTACAAAATTAATAATTAAATAAATAAATTGTAGATTTTGCAGTTAATTAAATTTATAATTTATATCTACAAAACATTAATTAAAAGTATATGTATCTTTTTGATATCAATAAATACAAGATACTTTTCATTTTTTAACACTTAAAATACAATACTAGATGGTTTCTTAATCATTTAATTAAATATTCACTTTTTATCAAAATTGATTTTTTTTTTCCTCGATAAATCCTATCTTCAGCATTATTTCTTTCTATAGCAACAATAAAAATGTTAAATAACTATAATTTTTTTATTCACATTATTATATTGTTCCATCTCTCAATTTGCACAATGGTATAGTATTTCACATCTAGTGGAGATCACAGTTCGGTCTTAAGTTCGGATCGATATGTACAGACCAGACTGGACAATGGTATTGATCGATTTTATTTTGTTAATTTTAAATAACGATATTCCAAAACTATAAATTAATATTATGTCAATCATTATTATTTTCGTTTGAAGCATGGAGAATTTGGAATTCCTTTATCAGGGAAAAAAGTGTTGAGTTGAAAATGAAAAATATACAAAATTGAAATTTATATAAAAATATGTAGCATGATAAGTTGTTAAAATATCATGCTAAGCATTATCAATTAGACCAGTTATAAAAAAATTATAAGCCTAGATTTGTTGAAAATAGTCTACATTTTTTTTATAAACGCTCTCCTGAACATTTGGAAATGAATATGAAGCGCCATAATCCTTAGCCGACGAAATACAAAAAAAGTATTTGTATTTAAATATTTTAAATAAAAGTATTCGCGCGATACTGCCCAATCCTAATATCATCTTTATATTCAGAATATGAATTTAAGGAATTTTCAGCATACATAAGTTTCAAAATGCTAAATTTATACTAATAAATTATTTTAAATGACTAATATATATAATATTTACTCATTTTAAAATTGCAATTCATTTTTAATTTGCCTTAAAATGCATTTTAAAAAATTGCATACATATATGGGGGAGGGGGGGGGCTCACACCTAAATGCCTCCAACCTAATAACAATGTTATTTTTACCGGATAAGTGTGAAAACGCCTAATTTTGATATTTGAATTGAAAATTAGAAATTTGATAACTTATATTCTTTCTTATTTAATACGAATAATTGATACTTTTTACAATTTTAATTATTTATTTTAATAATATTATATTTGAGTCAATGATAGATTTGAGTATAAAATTCGGAATAATAATCTTTATCCTAATTTATTCGTCTTTTTTAGTAATATCTAATATAGATGTGAAATGCTTGAAAAATAAATAAACAATATTATAAGTTCTCTTAACAAAAAGATTTTACATAAATAACAAGTTAATGTTTAACTACCAATTCTAAGCAACATGCTAAACAACGAACAATTCTTAATATTTAATATAGGGATCTATTATTTATATGTTAAGATTAGGTAGTCGGTAATATACTATATATCATATAGCCCGTCGCACACATCCACTTAGTTAACTTTAGGAAAAAACTCGATCCTTGTTGGATTCTAATCCAGGACTATGCAATTAGTGATATGTCCCAGTGGACCACAGACGCTTTTCAAAAACAAGAATATTTTATAACAATCATATATGGCAGTTTCGATCCAAACTAAAAATAAAATACTTTAGTTACTCATTGCCTCTTTTTAAATCTAAATAATATGTATTTTAAAAATTACTTTTCATATGGCAAATAATCAATATTATCATATAAATATACTAAAATTCAGATATATAATGTTAAATAATTAAATTTTTGTCGTCATGACACTTTGTATTATTTGATTATAATACAAATTGAGAGCAGTAGGATGAGCTTAAATATTGCCTTTAAGCTGCCTTTCCCTGTTCACAGTTATTTGCGGCTAAGAATAGAAAAATACATCATATTTTCTATACTTCGATGCAAATTTGCATTAACTGAGGATGCATATTTAGTGACAATTCTATATATATTATATGTCTAAGGACCAACCCACTCCTGAGTTTCTGTCAAAGAAATATTTTAAAAATAAACACTCGTCTTAATTTTTTTTAGCGATTCACATTGGTTATATAATTTTGAAAATAGTAACATACTTTAAATCCAAAATATATAAGCGTAGAAAATTGCCAAATATGGTTAACACTAGTAGGAGATTTCCTCTATTAAATTTTACTGATGTAGACGGTTGTGAGCCCAAACTAGTTAGTATACTTGATGCTTACTTAAGCTGAGTTAAATAAAAGGTTTATAAATAATATCTACCATTAATATAATAAAGGTCTAGAAAATAAAACAGATAATTTGAAACTCTTACGCTAAATATTATTAAAAATCTTTTTATTGTACCTAAATTATGGGGGGGGGGGTAGTAAAGTCTTGAAGCTTTTGCTCAATTTAATTATAGGAAAGAGGAAAACCTGAGTGCAATAAAGTGAACCTATTAAAATATTCCATATTTAATATTTGTTAACAAAGAAAAACAAAAATATAACTAACCATGATATGATATGAATCAGGAAAATTTTAAAAGGTTGGGGGATCATCCGTTAAAATTTCCCTATTTTTAACAATTTTTTATTCATATTAAAATAAATAGAGCTAGCTCTTTCTTTAAAAAAATGAGATGTGGATACAGCGTCTACATGACAGGATTTTCACTGGATGCAAGCCCCCTTCAAAAACCTTTGCATACCCCCCTAAAAAATCCCAACCGCCTTCGGCGGCGATGTCTCTTTATCATTATTTTCACCTATTTATTTATTGATACTCTTTTCAAATAATTTATAAAGGATGACTTAAATTAATCTTCAATCTATCTCTACTACCAACTATCGATATTTTGTGAATATAAAGAATTTATTTTTTAGATAATAAATTTAATTAAAACCTCCATTATTTACAATGAATTAAATATTATGGCATTATGAGCTTGATGAAATATCGAAACCTTTTAAATTATATTTAAAAGGATAGTTTATTTGGAAAACAATGTGTATGAATGTTTGCAATATATAGATTTGGTAGATGAATTGTATTATAATAATACTATAATAAAAGTATTAATTTTTACAGAAATAAACTTTGTCTTATTTAATCTCAAAATTTAATAAATAACCCCCCCCAAAAAATTTATCCTACCCCCATTAAAGCAGCTTACCCCTTACCCCCTCAAAAAAATAGCAAACTCCTACCCCTCCCGCTCATGTAGACGCTGTATGGATATATGTCAAATGACACATTCTTCTGCCATTTATTTTTAATTTATTTCGGTTATTAATAAAATTTGATAAAATGATGCTAATAAAACCTACAAGCACTGATTATAAAGATCATCATGATCGTTGGTATCCATATGTTAACCATGGAGGGTATAAAATATTTTAATTCATTGTTTATTATGTATTCTAACATAAATTCGTATTCATTTATAGCATTTATATATGAGCTTTAAAAAAAATAAGATAGAATAATGATTGTTTTATGAATCAATTAAACTGTTATCTAATATGGTAATTTTTATAAGCATTTTATTTATTTATCAATTTTTACTCAATTTAATATGAATTTTTAGATATTTATCAATTAGAATGTATAGTTTTTATCCATTTTTCAACTGTCTTTCTTAGTTAATATAATATGATTATCTTATATTAGGAGTATTATAGCGATTGCAGGGGATAATTTTTCTGTACTTGGCACAGATATGAGACTGAGTGAAGATGCAAGTGGAGAAATTATGAGCCGCCATCAATCAAAAGCTTATAAATTGTAAAAACATTATATAAATAAGTCAATATAATCAGTAATTAAGCCTATTTTTTAAGGGTGCCAAAGATTTTAAAATTGATTTTAAGCTAACTTTAATTAATCGGGTTCTTGTAAAAAAAATTATTTAAATTGTTTTGTTGGATATTTATATGGAAATGGAGAGACAATATCACTAAAAATTATGGTATTTAGACACTGTAGAGGATTCAAACCTATTTTGTAAAATTGATAACTAAAACTTTTGGTCAATCCTGAACTCTGAAATATATTTTAATAATTTAAACTATAAGTGCACTGATATTAATTTTTGTGGCCATTCTGATTTTCCTGATAACAAGGTTGATATCAGTTGATTACAAATATCAGCCAATTTGGAAAAAAAGAATATTACAAAATTTAACTCTTTGAGATACTTTGTTTTAATATTTTGAGAATTTTTTTTTTAAAAAGACTATACATATTTTTCCTAACTGCCATTTCAAATCGTAAATTTTATTATATTGATAACTTTTTTTAAAATAAAAAAACTAGGGTATCCTATAATATTATGTTGGTGTATCTAACTTAAACTTATGATATAATTATACTTTTATTAAAATCATTAAATCTTATTTTTTTTTTAATTTTCAGAACTCCTACCACAATGCTAGGGTTATGTGGATTTCATGGAGATGTCAATTACTTATTAGGGCAGCTGGAATATTCTATAAAAGTAAATATTTTTTAAATATCCAACCTTATTTTCACAATTATCAGAGACCTCCAGGCAGAGTGGGTTATTGTGTTTACTTGTATTAAAAATAATAAATACAAATTCTTTTTTTTTGAATTATTTTAATTTTTATTTGAATAAATTTAAATATTATTTGTATTTGAAATTTTAAAATTAATAACTAACTTGTAGTTATATGATTTCAAATAAAAACAAATACTTTTAGTTTTTTTAAAAATTATATTATAAATGTAAAATATATAATTTATTTATTTTAATAATAATTTTGTTTTATGCATTTTTTTTTGTAAATTTATCCAATGCCTGTGGGCCCAAAAGCCTGGTGGGCCAAAATTTTAAAAATTTGGGCAGACTTTAAATTTTTTTTTAGGTAGGATTAAAATCATAAATAAAATCCGGGCTGGCTCGAAGGGCTGGGCTTGTGATTTTTTTTCTTTCAAATCCTAAGTAGGCTTAAAATTTTGACTACTGCATGTTGCTGACACTTATCTAAACATTCTTATATTAAATGATATTTTTGTCCATTTTTTTTTCTTTAATAAATTTATGGTATTTTCAAAGATAATACAACCTAATGGAACTAGCATTTATCCTAATTTTGTATTACATGAGGGTAGATGTATCAATCCAGAGACAACACATACCCTGCCTGAGTTCAGTCCAAGTCAAAATTTGCAAATATAGGGATCTCAATTTATGGGGAGAAGCCACCATTATAAGTTTTTATTGGGGGAAGGGGGTAAGATTTCTGAGTTACGCTTCTGCATCAATCACATTTACAAAGTCATAATATTTATTGGATAAAGTCAGGTTTTTGAATCAATTATATTATTATATAGGGGTGTACTAATATCACTTTTTAAAGGCTGTTCCAATATTATTTCTCATTTATTATTCTGTAAATTACTAACCGTTTTAATTTTTAATGCATACACCTAATGTTGCAAAATCGTTCCATTTGAGTCGATTTTTACAAATGGCTAACTCACTATTCTATCCAGAAAAATATTGCGCAAGTCTCTCATAACTGAAAGTGGTCTCGACATCTCTAAATCTCAATTAGGTAATATTTTTTGGTTAAAATATTGAGTTAACCGTTTTTAAAAATCGACCAAATGGAGTGAATTTGCATCATTACTTATGTCTACTCATCTAATATAATTTTTAATATTATAATACATATAGTTTAACTTACCATAATATAAGTCATTTAAATATATATTTTGATCAGTTATAGTTTATATTCATGAATTTGAAATATAAAAAATATTATTATTGATATATCATTTATTTATATAATAATATTAATCTATTTACATATATTATGAAAATTGAAATTAATTTTTTAAAAATTAAGACGCCATTTTATCGGATCGGAAAATTTTTATAATGTTATCAATAACCTATATTTTTAAAATGAAATATCTACCCTATACAATCCTATAAAAAGTATCGGTACACCAATCTATAGTAGCATAATAATTCCTACATCAGAGGGGGGTTCAGATCCGATTGTAATAGTAAAATCAGTATTTGTTTTTGTCTTACTTTGACACAGTTGCATCCCAACCACTAATTTTAATTGTGTAATGGACAGTTAAATTTGGTAACATTAATTCTTATAAATCGTCCAAAAAATTTATAGCTAATTTTACTGAGCCAGGGTTCATTAAAAAAACTTGCTTAAAAGAATCACATGTCTCAAAAACTAGCGAATCTCATCCAAAATTTAGAATATAGAATGACGGTTATGTTGTGATATGGATGGGCTAGAGCCCTGCAAATTTGTATTGTCTGAAGCTGGGATTTAACCCAATATAATTATTTTTTAAATGGACCAAGTTCTGGTCAAATAAATTGCAGGACTTTCGGTATAGAGTAGGCCTATTTTTCAGAAAAAAAATTAAAATTTTTTCTGAAAATTTGGAAATCTATTTGTTTTATGACTTTTTCCATAGTTTATTATTTTCAATTCACATTGGGGTTTTTTTTAAGCTTTGTCACTTTCTCTAGCTTTACCATTCAAATTGAATTGATTTAATTTGTCTTTATTCAAATATTCCTTTGTTGTACATCTTTTTTTTTCACATTTATTTATTCATTCATGTTTTAGATATATACCAGAGAAAATTACACCACTATATCCACACCTGCCTTGGCTTCAATGTTAGCATGCACTCTTTATAACAGGAGATTTTTCCCTCTGTACGTTTACAACTTGTTGGTTGGTTTAGATGATGAAGGTAATTTTGAAAAAAAGTTTTTAAAATTAGGTAAAAACTTGAGGAAAAAATAATAATATAAGAATGATAGAAAATAGGAATGAGGATGTAGAGTTAATATCTGATGAATTGATGAAAAACTAGACTGAACCAAAAAACCAAACTGTATTTTTTTTTGTAAAAAGAGGGAAAGTTAAATATATTATATAATATTTATTTTACCGAATTTTATATTAAAGGCAAGGGTTGCATGTTTAGTTTTGACCCAGTGGGCTCTTACGAAAGGGAGAGCTACAAAGCTGGAGGTAGTGCTGCTGCTATGTTACAACCCATATTGGATAATCAAGTGATAATTACTTTATTTTGATATTTATTTACATGTCTTACTTCTTTTGAATTCTAACGATCTTAAGATTAAAATATTTTAATTATAATTATTATATTGATAAGTTTCTTTGATACCAATCCTCCGTTTTTATGACAAAATTATAGCTGTCACTTTTAGACTGTAAAGTAGGCTAAATGATGGTTATACGTCTAAACAAATCATTGTTTTGTAGCATAATAAATTTATACTGAATTTTAAAATTTTGCACAAAGGCTAGCCCATTTAATTTTCTGCCCGGCCTACAGGCCCAAATTTGTAGATCAAATGTGGTTTACTATGTTAAATTTTTATCTTGTTCACACTAGAAACCTGCAATCACAGTTTTTTGCTGCAAGTTCGCCTATGCCCCATGCAAATTTTTTAAAATATAAGCCCAGCTTATTGCAGCCAAAGCCTTAATTTTTTCAAAAAGCTCATATGGAAAAAATCTTAAACTCGAATTATTAATTTTATTCGCTTTTTAAAATGTTGTATCTTAAATTTAAATATTCAATAATAACTTTGGTAATGAATGTTTATCTATTTTATTATATGATATCAAAATGAATAGTAAACAAAAGTTATGCTTATATTAATCGAAAAGGCTTTAGGAAAAACACCAAATATTTAGGTTATGAATATAAATTAAATTTAGCTAAATGATAATAGCCACGAATAGATATGATTAAATTTTATTTTCATATACATATTCTTTTGGTGTTAAATGTTAATCCAGCTGCAGAAAATATTCTTTTGCTCGGTGTACCTGTTGCAGATACAAAAGGAACCTTTTTAAATTAAATTAGAAAGATTTAAAAGTTCCAATCACCTTTTTACCCCAAAAAATAGTACATAGAATATGCACCTTGATTTGGTACAATATGTTGATCAAGTAAAATATGGCATTCCTGCTCTAAATCATCAGCGCTATTTGGAAATTCACAGAAGATGGAATGCTCTCCATCTATTTTTGCAATATAGGGCTTGGTATTTAAGCCGTATCTGCAATTTAGATCTCCTTATCTTGATCATTGTTAAAAATTTGTGTCATAAATTTGTAAATAATCTTCATATTTTGAGATACCTTGGGTCGAGCGAAGTTAGAATCGGTTATCATATTATATCTTGCCTTTCGCCAACATTAATTAGAGAACACTTGTTATTTTATATTTATAAACAGGAATTTTAATCCGCTTTTAGTTCCTTTAAAATTGATGTATGAATGGATGATTGGAAAGAAATAGCACAATAAAAATTCATTGTTTATTTTCTGATCATATTCCTATTAATTTTACAGAGGAAGGGTAGAGATTCTTTTAAAAAAGATTATGCTGGAGGACTTAATGGAATTTTCCCTATTTTTCTACGGGATTTAATTAAACCTGCCATAATAGCAAATAGTAATTTATAGGCCAATATAACAATCGCAGAAATTTTTTTTGGGGGGAAACCAGGATTACTTCAAATATAATCTGTTCCTGTATCAAAAATAAACTTTCAACTTTCTTGCAACCCTTTCAATTGGAATAGGGGGATGCGAAAGTGCTTCTCATTTAGAATTTTGCTAGATAACCTTAATCATGACACTATTTTAGTAAAAATAAAATTTCTTTTAACTCTATAAAACGATTGTTACTTTGTACCCTGTTTTATTAAGTATTTTCTATATACTTCTTATATCAACAACCTGACTTTTTTTTATTTTAAAACATCTATTTTTATGATCATATACTCAATGTGTTAATTTTTTTTAAAACTAATAAATTTATTATAATTCCCGAGATCAGAATTGGTTTCAAAATTTATTATTGGAATAAGAATTTTTATGATACCCTGTCCTTTCTGATTATTACACTTTTTTTTTAGTACTTCTAAGGAGAGAATGAAAGTATATAAGAGAAAGAAATTAAATAATGATAGAGAAAGATAATAACATTGAGTTAAATTTTTTTAAATATATATTTGTATATTTTTTATTTATATTTTCCCCTTTCAAAGATAGGGAATAAAAACCAAAACAACATTATTGTTAAAATTCCGCTTACGCCTGAACGCGCGGTATCAGTAGTTAGAGACTCGTTCATTTCTGCAGCTGAACGTGATGTACTAACGGGCGACGGAATAACTATACACATCATAACTAAAGATGGCATTACTACAAAAACGGAAATTTTAAGAGGGGATTAGAAAATCTACTAAATCTAGCAGATTCTTCCTTACCTCTCTCTTTTTTATGAACGAGGAAATTATGTTTATATTATTTTTTATATAAAAATGAATTTAAAATATAATTTCCAATTTTATAAAAATTTCTAAATAAATTTTTTATTAGACATTTATATATAAATTATGATATAAATGTCTAGTTTGCTTATCCCTCAAATTAGGAGTAAATTATTATTTAAACGTAAATCAAATAAGGATTATGTGTAATGGAATTCTATTAACTCGCAATTTAATTTTTTGTCTTATAATAGAAAAGGTTAAATAATATATTAATTCTCCTCTTTTTTTAAAAAATCGCCCGACATTTATAGTCATAAAAAATTAAGACCTTGAAATTATCTTATCACTGTTATATAGATGTTTTGTTTGTAAATTTAGATGATGGGTTAGGGGATGATATTTAATTTTTGGACTAAAGTAAACTTTTACTTGGAAGTGAACAATATAACCTAATAAATCTTATTAATTTAAACCTACTATAACTTAAAATCAATACAACAAACTATGTAGCTTTATCATCTTCAAAATCTAATAGTTAATTGAAAACAAGTTATCCCTTTTCCACGTCTAAACTTAAGCTTCATAATTAACTCAATTCCTCCCTTAATTACCTTATTAAATTACTCTCACATTGTACCTTTACTTCAAAGTGACCATTATAACCAAGATCTAATTATTAAACAGAAATTATAACTCAAAATCAACAAATAAAATTATAGGTTAAATTAATTAATTGTTAGAATAAACTATAAACAAATTATTTGCAAGTCACCATCATAACCAGGAAGAATTTATTTCCAATTCTAACACCCCAAATGACTTAGAATAGTAATTCATTAACTCCATATATTTTAGAGTAGCTTTAAAGCTTAACAAATATAAAGATGGTGGAACGATTGTGACATCACCATCTTGTTTGAAAGAACTTGTATTTTTTGTTCAGTGGATTAAAAAACTTTTTGACATGATAGATAGTCCAAAATTAATAATAATAAACGAATATTTAAAAAAATCTTCTAGTCCAAAATAATGAATTTATTGACTCCTGATATTAAAATTGTCATAATTTAAATAGAAATAATTAAACAAGATAAACAAATGTGTGTTTTTTCTACACTGTTTTACAATTATTTAGGCATTTTATTTAAAATAGGTTGATAACAATCTATTTAAACTAACAAATTATATTAATTAAAAGATGATCAAATTACCATTAAAGGCTAAGGTCAATAAATATCAATCATTTTATATTAAATAAACACTTATTAATTTTTTACTAACACCTTGGCCTAAAACCTCTTAGCATAGTGCAATTTTTCTAATTTATTCTTAGTTAAATTTAATATTAAATATATTAGTCCATCCTATTATTTATTCTCCTTAACTGACGACCCACTCAAGGAATCTGTTAATTCATATACTTTGAGTTGCAAAAAATTTTTTTGTTATCGTAGGACAAAAGTTACTCCTTTTCACTTTACATAATTAAGGATTAGATTAAAAATCATAATGTTATTCAGGGACCAACTTTACAATTATAGGGATCTTAGAAACAGCTAGAACATTACGTTAACTTCCAAAAAGAATATTTACCTTATCATGTGTATTATTCTCTTTTAAATAATCTAACCAGGCATCAGGTATTATAATTTTTAAAATATCCTGCCGGAAACGGAATTAATATATCACCACTTTCTTACTCCTCTTCTTTACTATGGTAGCTGACTACATAGTTGTACCGTCAATTAAAATAAAATGGGTAGACATCATGTATAGGATCTATCTCCTGGTGGTAATGAATTCGATGATAAAATCGTCTGCTTTTTTAAATTTCCTTTCCAACCATAATAAAAAAATTTAAAATATCTCTTAAAGACACGCTACAAATTTATTCCTTTAATATTCCAGGGCTCTTATTTAAAATAACTATTCCCAGAAAAATTATGGAAAATAGTAATATTATAATTCTGTTAACTCAAGAAATTATGATAAAACAATATCAAAAAACTAAGAGGATATACTATCTTTCCCTCCGGTAGTACTAATAATAGACATGGTTTATTCTTCATCATATGATATTAAATTTCACACCCATTAATCTTTAAATAAAAATAGCTGATAATAATCCCAAACAAATTATCGAAATTTGCAAACAATTCAATCTAAAAATTTTAAATTTATTTTGGCTTACTTTTCCCCTTCCGCTAAGACACCACTTAAGTGTACATTGTCATATTGACGTTTTAGATCAATCAAAGCAAACAACAATCATGCCTATTTTAAACATTATAAAAGTCAATTAGATTTTTTTTTATCTTAAGTATAAAAATGAGTTTTTACATTCAAAATATTACCATTTTAAAAGAAAGTGTTTTTCTTTCAGATCATAGACCTTTAATTCTTACTTTAGTTATAAAACCTAAATTACTGTTAATAAATCAAACAATCATAAACCCCTTATTTTCCTAAAAGTATAATATCAATAATTTAAACTTCCCCATTCCAGCTATGAATTTTCACATTAGTTTAAAACAATAAGGATTCATGGTCTAACATCTCCTCAATAATAGAAGCTGCTAACTCAAATCTTAATATTAAAACACAATACCCGGACTGGGTCAGTTTAGATACATCAAATTTCATAAAATTTTTACTTAATAAAAGTAAAAGAAATATAAATATATTAAAAAACTACTAGGCAAAATCAAAAAATCTCTTAGAAAAGACAAACGGAAATATATATTTTCTAGACTTAATCAAATACAAAATTAAAAAAATGACCTTTATAATACATTTAAATCCTTAAACTTTCTCACCTCCAACTACAAAAATATTAATAGTTTAATAATTGGTCGTCTCACGATTAACAATCCAGAAGATCAAATAAATATATATGTATATTGATCATTATAGGCTACATTCTCAACTCTAATCTCATTAAATCTAACTTCTCAACAATTATATACACATGCTCTTTTAGCAGGGAGAAGAACAAAATTAAGAAAGTGATTATAAAACTTTTATTTAATAAATATATTTTAAAAATATTTAACTGAAAAAATATAATAAATTTATTCTTTATATACAAAAATAATCTATTAAAAATTTAAATGATACAATTAGGTTAAGTTAATATAAATTGTGTTAATTAAATGAATGCGACATATAAAAATTTGCGCTATATAACAACCAGTATAATAAAAATTATCCATGTTTAACACTCTTTTTCCCTTAAAACAAGATGATATTATAAAAGCTATAAACAAACTCAAAAATCCCAAATCTACAGTAAAGGTGAAACAAAAGCAAACATAATTTCTAGGTTATCTATATCCAAAAAAAAATTTATTCCCTTAACAAACTCTTGTATTCAAATATTATTTCAAAAAAATTCTAAATACACATATTAAAAATCTACATAATGTCATCTCTGTCTTATGATATAGTAACTTGGGAATATAATAAATCTAAACTTAATAAATCTCAAATCTTTATTAATAAATCCTTTAGAAATATCAAATATACTAACATAATTTCTAACATAAATTCTGCTTATCATATTCCACTTAATAAATTATTAAATTTTAGAAAAATAGAATTGCTTTGCTATTTATAACACAATCAAGTAAGCACGATCACAAAAGCTTTAAGATACAAAACCAAAAACAATAAAAAAGAATACTATAACCATCCATACCAAATCCTGGTATGGTCAATCATGACAAATTCTAACTAAAAATAATGTTGATAGTCTTTTCCTTATTAATATTTCTTAAGGCAAACTACAATTAAAATGGAACTAAGCTCTTTTAATATAAATAATATTATTTTTTTAAAAAATAAAAATATAAAAAATAAATAAATAGATTCTATCCATGAAACGAAAATATTAATTTTTTAATTACTTTTAAATATTTTTATCATTCATAAAATAATCTATTTACTTACTTGCTGACAAACGTGAAAATCATTTCAGTCTCTTTGGCCCATCATTGCCTAGATGTGCAAGATCCAAATTACAAACAATACCTCTCATAATTTCCTTGCACATTACACATACCCTAAAACTTATAACAAGCAATTATAACACTAATTTAACAATTTAATCTTATATACATAGTTTTGCTAAGAAATTTTTATTTTCATAATTAAAATTATTCTTATATTAAAAATATTTTTTCTTTAAAAAAAATAATAAAATAAAATAATGTCAATAATTTGTAACATTTGTGCAAAACTAATTAAAGTGACAAAGGTCAATCTTGTATACAAACATAGTTACAAAGGATCAACATGTCCTTCCTCTCAAAAATCTCCACCAATGAAATTATAACAATACCCAAACCCTTATTAAAAATTATTGAGCCTCATCCTCACGCTATTAAGACAGATTATCTTGAAAGGTTTTTTGAATGAAAAAAGGACCCACTTTTACACATCTACCAAATAAATCTAATTTCAAATTTTGTTACAAAACTTATCACAAAAGTTAATGATATTTTAAATTGCTTAAAAGCATGGGAAGACTCATTAACCTTGTCTCATAAATGTCTTAAACATCCCGATAACAAAGAGACACCATTACACTAACAAATAAAATCAAACATAGAACATGAACAATAGGAGAACTTGCTCATATTGCTTTAGAATTATTAACATAAAAAATAACAATTTAATAACCATCCATGGACCACTCATTTCAAGATGCCCAGGTAGTAATAAACCCCCTGCTTGAACCTTCATCACTTAGCATCTCAAGATATTCCACCACCAACTTTAATCTCAACCCCAAATGACTATCAATTAAATCCACCAAATGAAAATCCAACACAGGAAAATACTTTTATAAAAAATTATCCAATTCCTGATTTGGAATACCCAAAATTTTTAACAAGCTATTTCAGCCCTACCATATCACGAATCCCAAAAGCAGACCTTAAATTAATTTATCCTTTTTATAACAAAATCATTAATAATATTTTACAAAATCCAGAAGATCTAAATTGGAGAAAATTATTATATTTCCCAACATTAATATT